GGTGCGCAAATGTGGAAAGTAAAAACATGCAGAATTTCTAAATAAATATTTTGAAATATTTTGCTTCGACACTTCGTTTGCGTGCGTTTGATTGCAGGGGAACTTCGATCTTCGCTAATTGCACTTCCATTCAATGGCATAGCCTTAAGTCCATGTTATTACCTTCCCATCCATCTACACATATGTAGTAAGGTTTCCATCATACTACTGTGGCTTTTTATGACTTTAGAGAAGGCTTATATCAGGAAGTAAGTAGTCTTCATCACTAATACAAGAGAAAGGCCTTACCTCTTTCCTCTCGTGAGTAGAATCCCGAGATCCCAAGATCATATGGTAAACTGACATTTTAGTTTATGTAAGGGAGGGATGGTCGTGAGAGAAGAGATCGGCGTTTTTCATGATCACGGAAATCGGCGACCTCCGCCCAGCCACAAGGTTGGTGGGGTCTGCTCTCTCTTTGTCCCTAAAGGGTGAATCTAAACAAATTCATTTGAAGTAATAAGTTGAAAATTCTTAAAATTGCCTTGGTTTTTAGCACTAAAAAGTAAAGAAATAAAGCATTTTAGATAACTTGTTTTTTGTTTATCAATTCACTGTTTTATTTAGCTATGCAACCTTCTTTTTACTAGCCCTAAAAAATCATTCTACACGTCTTGGGAATACCCAAATAGACGAAAATTGAAGAAAAATTATACTGTTAAGGTAGAGATTTACTTGTTTGTTTAATTAAGGTTTTAAGGACGCTGGCACTGCACGCTTCCCAGGCTAGCTTTCTGCTATGTGATGCGGCTCTTGGGCGATGCTGGTAGTCTTGCAGAACTTCTGTGCCTCAGTAAGTAGTGCATTCTTCCACACCACCTCGGCTTATTACGATCTCGGTATGAATTCAAAGAGGCGCAAAATTTTGTTACCCACAAACCCTGTAAATGATCCGCTCCCCCATTTCCGTCCTCCTTTGCTCAGAGGACAAAGGGCACAGGAAAGCAGAAAATGCAAATCTCGAAACCTGCAATTAAAGACAGAAAAGGAGGAAATAAATTTTAATAATATGCCCCCAATAAATGTTCCCTAACAAAGGCCTTTCTAAGCTGGCGGCACTTCTTTAATCGTTTTTCAACTTGGAGTCCATAAGATCCAGGAGATCATGAAAAGAGGTATCGATGGTACTTTTTGTTTCTCCAAAGATTAGGACTTTTATGGCAAACACCTCCTCCTCTACCATTGAGGCTTTCCAATATGATAAAGTAAAAAGGAAGTGTTTATAGGGGATCAAAAAACTGGCGAATTGGTAACATCAGCGACGTCAAAGGGCACCCTATTACAAGGAGATTAAAACCGAAACCACTAAGAACGTAATGACTATGAAGGCGATCTCGCAGTCAGTAACAAACTCCCATATATTCACTGCACCGAGTATGCAGACAAAAGCCGTTTGTGCCCTCCCAGTTATGGCTTCCGAATGGCAGTTAGAGTGGTTCAATATAAAATATGACAATTTCTGGATAAAAGACTGTTAGAGGCTCTTATAAGCTCCACAAAATTGTTTTTGCTTTAAAGTTTCAAAAGGTTTACAAATTCTTTTTGTTTTCTAGTGTTCCTTGGGTAAATCACAGCCTTCGCTCTGGGATACAAAAGATTCACTCCCAATTTGGACGATATATGTATGTTGGAATGAGACCAACTTCAGGATTTGGCACCCCAGTTAGTGGGCGTAAACACACAGGTGCGTTAGCTTTAAATACCTCTCTTTCTGGAGTTTTGTCGCTTCGACTACTCTAGTTAGGGTCTTGATAACGGCTGTGTTCGTACACAAACAATACCAAGCTTTTTTCCTGCCAATCTGGATGAAGTTTGCTTTTTTTGGAAATAAGCAACCACAGTGGTCTATTACCTTAAGTTGGTGGCTACACTTTCCACTACCTATATCTCTATCTATTAATTTGTCTACCTGTCCATCTATTCATCTGTCCCTCAACCTTTCTGACTACATGCTTATCTCGTTATTATCTTAGGTATGCGACATTTTAACAGAGCCATTATTAAACGTACCTCTCCAATTGACACCTTTTAAATTTTATTGGGCATTTTTGAAAGTTTTGCCCGGAAATAAGCTAATTGGGTCAAATTATACTTTGGATCATTTTAACAAAAGTCTAACCTTTTTAAGGCCAAGAACGAGATAAGTGATACAAATAAACTATTATATTCTTGCTTCTAGAATTTTATTTTTTCCCCCGCTGGGCGATCCCCTAAATCCGATTTTATATTCACTCGTTTGCATAAATAATGGATGGCTTTGCTGTACCAAGGCGAGTTTACTACCTTCCTCCACATAAGCCGCATCTTCACCTTTCGCAGCAAAGAGCTTTACGTTCAGACGACCTTTGCCTTTTTATCAACTAAAACACAACTGCGTATGCAACTCAGTGTTCTCGACTGTCAAAGAGTTTATATTTAGTTACTGCACTTTATTTGTCTGCTGTTTTAAACACACACTGAATGCTAGAAGTTTGAAATAGATTGTCTTGAAATACACCTTTGTTCGAATGCATGATGTGGGTGAAAAGCGGTCGGTTCGTTGTCAAACCTAGTGACTTAGCGGATACTATTGGTCAAGGGAAGAAAATGACCTCCGGACCCGCATAATCCCGATTCCCCCTCCATCCAATCTCCGCGTCCTAAAAGTGTGAAGGCAGTAACGGAGAAGAAGGAGAGGTGGTGCCGAATCCCTTACCGTTAATGTTTTTTGGTTAGTATTAAGCGTAGCGATTTTTGTCGCCCAAAAATATAGAACAACTCTTAAATGCTGGTAGCTTTTCTCCAGAAAATTTTCGAGTGGCCAGATTAAATAAAAGGTGAATTTGACCGTTATGAAGTTTTCTGAGATAATATAGGAGCGTATGTGGCATAAGTTTTCGCCCTTTCAACTGATATGCAAATGAGGTGGCAGAAAACAAATTGAAATGCTACTGTTCTAGAAAAACAAATAAGGAATTTTCCGGGAAATGAATAGAACAGAAAATGTCTTCCTTTTCGTTACTATGCTACTACAAAGTTGCAAAGCTATTTTGCAAAATGCGCTGTGAGAATAATTTAGTTTGGATTAAAAATAGAAAACCCAAGTTTTTTTTGCGTAGAGATACAAAAAAAGGGGAGAACTGCAGCTTTTTTCATCGATTTTCCTACAAGGTTGTAGAAATTATCACAAAAATGTATCAAAAGAAAGTGCACAAATTAACCCTTATTAAAAATCAAAATTAAATTCGCTAATTAAAAATGAATATATTATTAGTCCAGACTTTCCACTCCTCGCCTTCTTTGCGTTGTAAAAATTAATGCAATTCGTTTCTAGAGGCGCCACCCACCTGCAAGTTCTAGGCAATGAAACTTGTCGGGTGCATTACAAGAGGTGACCTGGTCTTAAACCACGTATAAGGCAAGAGTAATCAAAGCACGAAAAATGTGAAAGGGGTCTTTCTCATTTTCGAAATTGCTGAAAACTGTTTTACTGCGCTGCAGAGCAAAGGCACGCTTGTCAGACTGACAGTGCTGCGCATTCCCCCGGTATCGCCTTCCTGCCGCATTGAGTTTCATCATCACAAAATTCAGGCATAACTCTAGCTCATTTGCTTTTTGGAAAAAAAAGCTTAGTAGTTAAATTATTTGTTGTTCGCCTGTCTAATAAACAGGCCACTGAGTCAAATGAAAGATGATTATTTAGAAGGAATTAATAAAATTTTAATTTTTTTAAGTCTGACAAAAGTGTGCCATTTTTGACTTTGAAATTTTTAAACTTTACAAAATCAACCATAAAATCTGCCCAAAATACAATTTTTATGTAAAACCTTGTAGCTAGGGTATTATTTTCGTTAAAAAACGAAAAGAAGAAAAGTTTTCCTCTCCCGAATTTTTAGAGTTCAAGACAATGAATCCTAAAATGTATTGAATCATATAAAATTTTCAATAAAAATGAGCAAAACAATTTTTTGGCTTGCGAAAGCAAATAATCTACTAGTTTAGAACTAAAACTTCAGGAGCCTTTTTGCAGTTAATGCACAACTTTGCTGTCTAA